GGGGAGGGGAGGAGAAGGGGAGGGAAGGGAAACAGAAGGGGAGGGAAGGGAAGCAAGCCTCTGGAAGCTGTCACCCATAACTTGGGTAGGTAGCTGAGGATTTAGTTTTTGTGGCAATAAATCAGCAAAATCAGCAATCATCTAGGTCAGCCTCGGGAGTTCAGCATGGAAGACAGAACAGGTCAAAGGCAGCTGGAGTAAGTGTGTATGTGTATGTGTATGCTTTCTCCCAGTGTGGTATTTGTAGTAGAGCGCCAACTCTTCCCCTCTCCTGGAGCAACGCAGTTGTCAAAATCTCTCCTACCTCCTATACTGACGGTGGCTGCAGCCTTAGCAGTGGTGAATTTCTCTCCATGCTTATTGGTAGCTACGCATGTGAAGAGTCCTGGCTTGGTGATAAACAGCTGCAGTCTTGAGTCAATCACTCGGTCTTTCACTCGTTCTTGAATGGCCCCGGAAGAAACCTGGTGGAGTAGGGAGAAACAAAAAAATAGAATTAGGTCAAAGGTTCCCTAATTTGCTGCATCAGTAGGCTTGAAAGAGAAAGGATTAGGATTATGATCAAAAGGCATGTAGTAGATTGTAGAAACATAAAAACGTTTCTGTCTGTATGCCCATGATCTTGCAATGTGACTTTGTAGCTCTTCCCTCAAAAGGTAGCATCTTTCTTCATGCTTTGACTACAGATTGGCCTTGCGACATGATTTAAAAAGACAAAGAGATTTGTAAAGTTCTTGCACAATGTGTTTTGCTGTCTTGTTGTTCTTGGAACCTGTGACCTTCTGTGAGCAAGCCAGAGATAGCCTGCTAGAGAATGAGGCACACATGACCCAGTTATTCCCACTGTTCCAGCTTGGAGCCAACAACAACAACCTGATGTATGATAAAACCATTCTAGACCAACCAGCACCCAGTTAACCTGCCAAGCAGAGGAGCTAGATCAGCCAAGATCAGACAATCCTTGTCCAAATCAACAAAACTACCCAGCTGACTCGCAGACTCATGAGCATTGATAAATGGTTATTGTTTTAAGCCAATAAACTTTGGATGGTTGTGATACAGCAATAGATAACTAATGAAGTGAAGGAAAGATATACCGTGTGGACTCCCCAAGATGCGTTCTCTGTCTTTTGAAGATAGAGATAATTAAGAATGAGAGGTTGTATACTTTTGGATTTATTTTCCTAACTCCCGTTCAGTTCCCCACAAATGCACATTGTATATTGGACGGTTACCAAGAAGAATGGTTGTGAAGCCGATTCTGTTTCTAAGGCATGACATACATAATGCCATACAACCTAAGTCAGAAAATCAAATGTCCTGGAAGAGGCAGGATATTCATGCAACATTAGCACATAATTGGCAGGTTAGTATATGTAAGTGCTTATTCATTAGTCACCATCATTCCAACTCTGTGGGTGTCACTGCCCAGCACATTCTATATGTTGCAGAGTTAGAATTGGTACCCTAGTTTGTCTGACCCCAAATTCTGTGCTTTTATCATTGGTATAGTGCCTTCCCTAGTCCTACAAGTGAGAACAAATGAAGTCATTAGAAAACAAGAAAAGTAACAACAATAATCTCAACAAATCAGCCAAACATGAACAAAACCAATTTCTGACTTATATGCCATTGTTAAGGTGGTGGCATTTTTTCAAAATGGTCATTTACATTTTCCTTCAGCAGTATGCCATCTTTTTAATAACTATTCTTTAGTTATCACTGCTTATATGAGGGGAAAATGCCAGTTTGAGGGAAATTTGAATGGAATGACAACTAAGGAATTAGGCTTTGGTTTGCCTTGACCTTATGTTGGACCGGGGGAGGTGGGTCCCATGAGCCTCAACATAGATCTCTCTCTGTCCAGAAGAAGGGAATAAGGCTAGGAATGTGAAATTTGGAGCCAGTTATTTTACTGTTTTGCCTGAAGGGGGATTTTAGACTAGTAGGGGGTGAGACCAGCAAGTTTCCTTCCTTCTGTAGCCAGGTGGCTGGCTGGCCCTGGGACCAAGCACTCCCTGTACAATCAGGCAGTAAAAGCTTGCCCAGTTAGCTTCTTCATCTTTTTATTCTCTACTTGCATTACTAGTGTCCATCCTTCTGATAAAAACTATTTATGTGAACATTACTTTACCTTAACTGGGGAAATGTCCCAGGTCAGATCAAGTATTGTGGCATTTTCCCCAGATAAGCAGCCTGTACTCTGAGAAATTGACAAGGCGGAGAGAAAAGTATCTTTAAGAGACATACCCTCAGTTGGGAATTCAAATCAAAATAATTATTGTATTTATCAGAAATGCAACTTCTTATGAATCTGAGTGTCCAAGTTAGATCAAAAGGATTGAACAATTTGAAATACAATTTCGGACTTTCCCTGAATTTTAATACAAAGTGACAATGAGAGAAAAGCTAAAGACCTCTGTGCTTAGTCAACATGCCATATGCTTGCTATAAGGATGTTTCGTCTGTAAGTATAATTCCTTTTTAGTTTGTAGACGTGAAATCTGTGGAACAGTTACCTTCCTCTGCAAAGTTAGTCATCTCTTTCAAGAAGTATAATGCCTTGGAAATAACTCAGAAACGAGTAATTCCCCAGTGCTGACTGAACTCCAACTATTTTCATGTTCACACCTAAGACAGTCATTCCCAAACACCTCCTCAAGGTCAATGAAAACATTCTGGGTAGGAAAATAAGTGATTTTTAGACTGCTCGACCTCCCTTCTCCTGGATTTCATCCAGGTGTTGAAATAGTTGCACGAATAAACCAACAAGTTACGAGGCTCCTTGCTTGGTTAGGATGTGGCTCCTAAATGCTTTTCCTCCTGTTTCCAGAGGCCTGGCTTGATCCAGTGATCCAGTTTGTGACTCATGCACAGCAGGCCTTGTTAGTCATAGTTTGAATTTGTTTTTCTTTCTTTATGGATCATCCTGACCAACAGTTTAGTATTTTTGATGACCTAAAAATAAAAACAACCCTTTGCCCTGCATTTCAATCTTTTTGCCCTTCAGGTTTAAAAGATCAAAGGGATGAGTTCAGATTATTGCTGTGAGTTTTGACGGAGGTTTGCCTGAGCAACACCAAGACCTTAATTGAGGTGACTCTATCTGGTGTTTACAGTAAATATGTTATTTTCTCCAAGTCACCCAGGCATGCTGACCTGAAGGAGCTGGATAAACAGCTCTCTGCTCTGTGTGTGGTGTTCTTTCTGAGATAGTGACCTCACAAGGAAGCAAACAGGAAGCTCTATTAAACAGACATAATAGGTCACACCTGAGAAAATGGACATGAAACCTTTTAGAAGGTGGCAAAGTGATATAGACCTGTGGGATATTTAAATATATCATTAATATATTAATCATATTGTTCTGAGAGAATCTGCCCACAGTGCTGGATAATCTCATAGCTTCATCATGATTTGAATTTAGCATAAGACCTTTGAAAGGTATTTCGGTCTCAGTGGCCCTGCATACCTCAGGGAATTGTTAGGATGTGGTCCAGTGGGTCCATGTTCAGGGACTGGTAATAATGCCTGTCTGTGCATCATAGAAAAAGAAATAATAGACTGAGAAACATTTCCATAATGTTTCTGAGCAGCATAGCCATAAATATTGCCCTCTTTCAGACGGGCTAAGATATTCCACCAAAAATTGATATATGTAGTAACTTTGATTTACACAGCCTTTCCTGTGTTCTTTGGCTCTAACTGTTCAGGGTGTTAGTTTACTGGTATATTCACAGCGGGGGAAGAAATGAGCATGCACATCTTTTAGAGGACCCGTTGTACTTAGCAGTGTTAGTGAAGTTAGTTCACTAACTTGTAGTTAGTAAAGATCCACAGTTCAAACTCCGTTTTATTTTTTTCTGCGCCAAATAGCTCCTGGGTATGCATTCATCTTCATTCAGTCCACCCAAAATGATATCAGGACTGTGGGCTCTTTTGTGTTCTCCTTAATAGACGTTCTGGTTTGCTACTTGCACCACATTCAATGCCTGAAATTGTCTCCATTTCCTGTGATTTGCGTCAGCACAGGCAAAGTCATCTCGATTTCCATTTGGACTTGGAGAGTATCACCAAAAACAAAACTTGGCTGTAAGAGCAACACATTCTCTCTGACCATGAGAACTACAGATGTACTTTGCTTTCTTCCTGGAAGAAAGTCACTATTAGTTTGTTTTAGAACCTGAGGCAATGGATCTATTTTGCCTTCTGCTTTCTGTGAATCACATCTTCACTGATTAAGTCTGGATCTCAATAAGACCAAAACTAACTCAAACCATCCGACTTTTTTATTACTCTTAACTCCAACAAATATAATCACACATTGCCCACTTCTAAACTAATAAAGACTTTTGAAAACACTGGATTCTTTTCTTTATTACTATTTTTGTGGAGTAAGACAAACTAGTAAAGTCATGTTGTCAGCCTCCCAGTTTTTTTACTGCGTATCTTTACCTGACTTGAGAGGCTTAAGACAACTACAACATCTTCCACAGAAAAGCCACACAACATATTGCCAAATAAAATTCAAATGACACTTGAGATTTAAGTAGAGGACTAAAGAACAGAACTACAAGTTACTTTATTATAACTTAACAAAATTAGAGAACATTAGCTCTGATGTCATATTGGACATCATCTCCAGCCACCTGACATCTCCGTCATTATAGACGGGGGAAAAATCAATGTCTGAGAGGTGAATGGACTCCCCTAAAATTACTTTAGCTGGAGAGGAGCATTTACAATTTAGGTCTTCTGACTCCCCACCTAATTCTCATTCTAGCTTCTTCAAGTTACAAGCTTATAAAATGACATCAATTTATTTATTTTAAAGAGATGGATGGTAGACCTTTAGAAAAGCTGAACCAATTTTAATAACAAATTATGAGAAAAGTCTGTTTGTTTTTTTTCAAGTATTAGAAAAGGGAAAAAAAACCCTTCAGCAGAAACAATAATGAAAACAAAAATAAATATATTGTAAGCTTTAGGGGTGCTAATGTAAAATTACTTTCTTCATTAGATGGGGTAGCCTCCGAGTGTGGCATCTTTTTCTTGGTTTACAGCATGCACCCACATTTCACACACTGACTCACTTGGTTTTCCACAGTATCCTAGTTATTCTCTTTTCTTTCCTCTCCTCTTTCTTTTATTTATTTTTTCCTCATTTGGAACACTCCTTGGACTTTAAAATGCTATCATTAATATATTATAATATGATAATATATGGACACTGCAGCCAAGATACCAAAAAGTTGGACAGAGACTATGCCTGCAAACATGAAAAATGAAAACAGCTGAGAACTCCTTCCATGAATCAAGGTTTGGGTTTGGGTTATTCATCTAGATTGAGAGCCATCCCCACCGTACCCGGAGGACTGGATTGAACACACACCCAATTTCCTTAAGACATAAAAGAGGGTCCTCAATAGGACCACCTAGAGAGTCCATATATGTCCCTTGTGGTGCAGTAAAAGGGTTAATCATTAGGTTTGAGATACTCAAACCCTGCACCTTAGAAAGAACTGGCCTTTGACTTTCTCCTGAGAGATAACCTTATCCCTGGGAATAGCCTGTCTGATAAGCATGTCTCTGTATACTTGAGACCTTGGGCCATGCCAGATAGTTCATGTTAATGTAAATTGTGATGAATATCTCTTTCCCTTTACCAGGGACCTTAGGCCATGCTGTATCAATTTGACCTTTGGATGGGGCTGGAGATTAGCTAAAATCAGTCCTGTGAGCCCTCCATGCCTATGAAACTAAGCCTTAGTAAAAACTCTGGACACCAAGGCTTGAATGAGTTTCCTTGGTATAATAATTTGTACATGTTGTCACACATCATTGCTGAGAGAATTAAGCAATCTCCATGCAACTCCACTGGGAGAGAACAACTGATTTTTTTTTTTTTTTTAATGTATCTTTATTGGTTTCGGAGAGAGGAGTGGAGAGGGAGAGAGAGAGAGAAATATCAGTGATGAGAGAGTCATTGATGGCTGCCTCCTGCACGCTCCCGACTGGGGATCAAGCCTGGAACCCAGGTATGTGCCCTGAACCACATTCTCCTGGATCCCAGGTCGATGCTCAACTGCTGAGCCATGCTTGGCCAGGTACCCTTTACTGATTTTAGCCTGTATCCTTTCATTGTAATAAACTAGAACTGCAAGTATAACAACTTGCCTGAGTTCTGTCTTTCTAGTGAGTCATCAAACTTGAAGGTGATCTTGGGGACCCTGACATACCTGCAGCTTTTTGACACAGCAGACAATTCCCACCTGTAAAATCTTAGAGGCAGAGTCAGGCTACCTGGCAGCTTCAATGGAGGGAGCAAAGAGGTAGTAGCTCTGTTCAGTGGTCTGGACCCCAAAGTTTGTACTGTACATACAAAGGTTTTTAAAAGATCTGAGCTGGAGCCATTTTCAAATCTTTCTAAAGGACCTTCAGAGAGACTCCCCATCAACTAACAAATTGAGGAATAAGAGAGCAATAGCCATCTGAGGAAAATGCGTCACCGGTGTCATCTTGAATATTTCCTGACTTCTGAAGAGTCCATTTTTAAATACTTGTCAGGTACAGGGTTGGAAAGCAAACTTAAAAGTCAAGTTAGACTTAACTAAACTTAGTTAATTTTATTCAAACTTAACTAAATTAGAAATTTTCCACTCTAATTACTGCTCCTCCCTTCTTCCCACCCCAAATGTGTTTGAGTCATGAAAAGTAGTTAGGAAAGGGGGAGGTGATGAATGAGCATGAGCTAAGAAGCCAACCACAAGACTTTTATGGAAGGCAGGTACACACATGCTAGAGCCCTATGAAAGAAAGGGAAAGCTCTCACCTGTGAATGCAGTTGGAGACTCTGGTTATTACTTGGGATTAGACACTTAAAATGACTCAGTTGGTATGCTGTTAGTGGATTTAAATCACCTGAAAGTTACCAGAAAAATCATGCAGGCCTCAGTGGTGAAAAAAGAACTTGCCCTGCTGAATAAACTTAAAATGGCAAAGAAAGTATTAAATAAGGTTGTATTACGTGCATATCATGGTTATTCAACACCTGAGTTACAATTATAATCTTAGTCTACATGTTAAAGCCTTCCTTTTCCATCTGAACTCCCAAAAGAGAAATAAAATCGTAAATGATGAAAAATAAAGTACCTTTACCTAGACCTCAAATTAATCCCTGACTTTTTTTTTTTTTTTTTAATCGAAACAATACACAGTAGGTAGTCAAAAAGAACTAGGCACATAAGGAAACAAAACACAATGAACAAGAGTCAGCAGGAAAACATACAACAGAAGTAGGTCTTAAACTAAAATAAAAGCCAAAACTGTTACAATAATCTACACAAGCCTATATAATCCACAACCGCTAAAAGCACCGTTTACCTGTTTCCATTTTGCTCTCTCACCTCGAGCCACACTGTCGTACCTGCTGCTCTTCTCACATACCACGTGCACCCTTATTCAGATTTCCCCCGGTTATCCCCAGTTATCTCTGTAGCCTCTTCCTTTAGCTCCTTTAGATCTTAGCTCAGATGTCTTCATCATAATGAGACTTCCTGACACTCTATTGGAAATGCTGTCTTTCTCCTAATGTTGCATGTTTTGTCTCATTTTCTGGCTTTGCTCTTCTACGTAGCCCGTGACACTGTTCACATAGAATATATATTCTCCTCTGTTTTCTTTTATGGTTTGTCTTTCCCCATCAGAAGGTAAGCTCTTCGAGGGCAGGAAACTTGTTTTGTTTGCTCCTGTATTCACAATGCCTAGAATAGTGCCTGATGCCCAGAAGATGCTCAGTATGTATTTGTAGAATAAATAAATTAATGCTTATATGTAAAGTGCTTAGAAAAGGGCCTGACTTATAGTAATCACTTAATATAACCAGTATAAAAAAATGAAAGAAACAATCTGTTGACCTGACAGATATGGGTTCTAATTATGGATTACTTTCATCAAAGGAGATTTCAGCAGTGAATGAATTCTTTTTTTTTTTTCTTTTAATGTTTTTATTGATTTTAGAGAGAGAGGAAGGGAGAAGGAGAGAGATATAGAAACATCAGCATCTCTCGGCTGTGGCTGCTTCCTGCACGTCCCCTGCTGGCGATTAAGCCCAAAACCCCAGCATATACCCTGACTAAGAAGCAAACCAGTGACCTCCTGTTGCATGGGTGCAATGCTCAACCACTGAGACACACTGGCCAGGCTGAACTAATTCTTAAGTGATGAGTTTTGTGGAATTATTTTACTTTTGTGGAAAGGAATTGCTAACACTTCCCTTTTATACAAAGGCATAAGGAAAGAAGTTGATTTTCTACTATTCCACATGATGCAAGGAAAGAAGTAAATCCATGGTGTTCCATTTCTGTGGCAGTGACTTCTAGGATGAAAATATTAGGAGGCTCTGAAAAATGGGGGTTCAGGGGGCACCAATGACAGAGATCAGGGTAACTCTACAGATATGTGGTCTGTCCTGAAACTCACCACCAGTGAGTCTTCCCCAGATAAGTCAGTCCCCACACAGGTGGCACTCACAGTATTCCCGTTTTCAATCCAGGTGATGGTGGGGACGGGGATGCCTGTTGCTGTGCAGCGCAGGGTCACAAAGGAGCCAAAGGTGACATTGTGGGATTCAGGAGCCCGCAGGATTCTGGCAAAAACTGTTAGGAAAATAGAAATGGTGAGTGACTCTCCCATGTGGAATGGTCAAGCTAGAGTGGCTTTTAAAAAATACAAATCAGATCCTGTTCTCTTGCATAAAATCTTCCTTGTTTCCTCTGTCATAAGGATTATACCAGATGCAATGCCCTGGCTTCTAAGTCATTCATGCTATGACCTTCCATTTCTCAGCACTCCAGCACATGCCAAGCTTGCTCTTATGCTTGCCTCATCCTAGAGCACTCATCCCCCAGGTCTTCAAGGGGCAGGTTCCTTGCCCCATCCAAGGGCCTGTCTCAGTGTCATTTGCTCAGAAAGGCCCTCCTTGATCACCCAAAATTAAGTGGAACCCTCCCCCCATTCACTTTTTCATCACCCTATTTTATTGTCTTTGCAGGCCTTACTGATATCTGAAATTATTTATTTTTATCTATTGTTTATCTACCCCCCATAGATTGTGAGTTGTCAACAACCAAAAACCTTCCCTGTTTCATTCAGTACCTAGAAGAGTGCCTGACCAAAGTAATAATATTTAACTGAATTAATGAATAATTAATGTTTTACACATTCAACTGTATCATACAGACAAAATCTGTCACACTTTTCAGGGTATGAAATGAGCATACTGGGCCAAAAAGAAAAGGAATACTTTAGGCAAAGTGTGGACAGAAAAATGAGTCATTTATATTCCTTTCTGAGGCTGAATCCCTGCTGATTTGATAAGAGGAAGTTCTTTAGATGTGAGAAGAAATTTTACCTGTATCTGAAGAGTAGAAATGAGTCTCAGAATGTACAGCAGATTGAAGGAGACTTAGAATCACAAAATTACTAAACTTGGAAGAGCTTCAGAGATCAGCTATATTCCTGCTCTTATTAAATGGACATAGAAACTAAATCCCAGTTCATTTAAGTTGCTTTCCCAAAGTAATAAAACTAATGGGTGAGAAACTTGAACTCAAGTCTTTTGACTTCAAATTCAGTGTTCTTTAAACCATTATGGAATCTTTTAAACTGCCCATTATATTGTACATATAATATTTTATGCCCTTGCCTTTTGCTTTCGTAGACATAGTTCGGTAATAAACTCCCATTATTTTAGTGGTAGCCACAAACTGAAATTACATTCTAGGTCATTAATTTTCAAAGTCATGTGATATGTTTCATATCAAGTAAAATGTCCACTGAATATTCCTACTTGTATTTTATTTGCATGAAAGACAATATCAAAGTGTTTTTGTTACATAAACATGCTGCTTAGTAGAAGGAGTATGACATAGTAATTTGGAAAGTATCTGCAACTGTTTTGGTATGGCTTTTGAAAGAAAAAAAATTATCTGGTCTTCTTTCAATAGCGTTATCCATCTTTCTCCAGTTCACTGGGAGCTCTTTCCCACTTGCTTTCCTATTGTTCATCCACAATGTGGAAAATAGACACAGGCTATCGATCCCTGGGTTTTCTCTCATGGTATCTAGCGATGAGCTTGGGCCTTTAATTTCTATTGGGTAAGTTACAGTGCTAACTGCAGGTTGAGAATCTCATACTCAAAACTGGGCTTAAGCAGCCAGCGATTCCAAAGTCCCCTATAATATAACCATATCATGTTCTCGCTTTCTCTATCCCTCTGTTTCTCTCTCCATCTTTTGAAGCACTTTCAAATACATAAGTTTTATTATTGATTACCACTGTCAGGGGTAACTTGAATTTGTAGTCAGGAGATACAGCCATTATTGACTCTGAAATTGTACTGGTGGCGCAGTGGAAAGCTAATGGACAAGGGACCCAAATTAAGTCCTGAAATTAATGAGCATTTGGCTTGAGATGAATGACCTCTCTTTTCCCAGTAAGGGAGTAAGACCACAGAAACACTTACGTCCCACATACATGCTGTTTGAGCAATTTTTTCAGAGGACACAGCAAGCTCGCATGGATTTCATTTCCTTTTGTTTTCTTTATCATTTTCTAGTTTCCCTTAAAGAAGTTTTTAAGGTTACTTGATTTAAATAAAAAGTGGCTGATAGGAATAAATTGAAAGCACAAACAAAACTAAACAAAAAAAATTACACAGGAGCAAGTGAAACGATTTTATCTAAATTTAGTTGTAAACAGCCTGATACTTAGAAATAGGACACAGCTCAACTACCTAATTGAGTTACTGAGATATGGAGGTGCCGTTTCAAATAATACCAGCTAAGGTTGATTCCTAGGGCCAAACTGCATTATATGGAAACTTGTGAATTTCATCCAAAAATATAAAAGTTTAGGTTAGAACAGCACACAATTTGAGTCATAATCAAGACAGAAGGTGCTTGCTTGGAAGGAAAACTCTTGTACAATAGAATGTTTTTTCCAAACAAATTTGACTTTCAGCCATTTTCCAATATATACACACACACACACACACACACACACACACACACACACACACACGTATGTGTGTGTACATATATATGTATGTATATATACCTGTGTACAATCAAAAATTGATTTACATTCAATTTGGTTTGGTTTGGAACAATTGCACCCTACTTGTCCTCTTGAAGTAATAACAGTAAAAACCCAGGATAGCACCTTGATGCTTCTACATTTCTTCAAAAATTGTAACACCTTCCAGCCCCCAAAAGGCTTTTAGTCAGAGGCTCCTTTCCTTTCCAGTCTGTGTGAAATCAATAGTCTTGTGCTGATTGATGCCATTTCACTTAGTATATTAAGTCAATAAGTATATAATAAAGCAACCCATCTAATAATAACGCTTTGTTAAATGCTAACTTAACATTCCCCATACACTGTTGGTTATTTCTGTACAAAATAAGGCACTTTGAGTTGTTTACAAGCTCAGCAGAAATAAACAATTGAATAGAATCATACATTTCAAAAGAAGCAGTGTAGAAAGAGAAAAAATACCTTTATTATCTTGCTCAGGTTCACTTTCCTCTATTAGAAATAAGACAAAACAAACAAAAACAACACATCGTGAAAAGGGAATCTCAGTTGTGCAACAAGATTAATTAGAATCCACTTATCTCTTATTTCAATAAGAAATAAATGTAATCAAGGGAAATTGCTGACCTTTTAAAAGCAAACTTTAAATGATGTAAACTTTCCAATTATTTTAGTCAAGCTGTATGACACAGAAAATAAGCTACAGCATACCAACAACATAGCTCACTCATGCATTTTTATTTTAATGTTGACAATTACCCTTTCCTTCAAGGTAACAGACTTGCCTACTCTGCTCTTACAAGTTGCGCTTCTTCTTGTTAGCTTGGCTTCTTCCCTTACGAGGCCTTCTGTGAGGTCAGTGATGTTGAATCTGGGATCTCAGCTATCATTTCTATGGCAGTAGACTCATGTTGTGGTAAACAGAGGATTAGGGGGTTTCTGCAGCACAGAGCCTATCACCAACAGAGATTCTCTGTCTCAACCCTCAGAGGCTGCTCAGAGAGCACAGAGGGTCAAATCATTATTCCCTAGGAAACCACGGGTGAAGGAAGCTACAGAGAAAATGGAAAAATGACTAAATTGGATACACAGAATTGGGAATTTATTAAATTTAAAAAGCCCTAGAAAAGATATAATTAATTGTTTCAAAGTGTTTAATATAAGCATATCAGATCTAGCAGATCTGAGCACACATGGAACTCTATTTTTCTTTCTGGGAAGGTTTATTTGTTCATGTTGGTTTAGACCTTTCTTCAAATTGGTGGTAAGCTAACTGCAACATATGTTTATAAGTGTAAAATAGCAATGCTGTCTTAACTACTTTTAATGCTAAGAATACATTGTATAGTTCTTCACAGATTATGGATATTTTCAAACATGATACATAATCTCATTTAACCCTGACCATAGCGCTCTGTACATAATTGATACTATTCAGCCCATTTTCCAGACAAGGAATCTGAGACATGGATTTGCTGCAGATGCAGAGCCAAAATTTCCAGCATCATGCCTAGCATCACAGTGAGAAGGCCTCATGTCTACACTTAACACCCAATCCTCTTACACATAAGTGAATTTATAATTTCCCATTTAAACTTTTCTCTGTCTGCACCTTTCCTATCTCCACCAATCAAGTCAGTGTCATACTCTTATTTTATTTTTTAAGTATCGAAGTCAAAGACTACTTAAAACTTCTGTGGACAAAAAAACCCTTATGTAATAAACCTGGCTCAGGGGGCTACATGGCAGCCCTGACAAGCTCAGTGACCGAGAGTAACCACACAGGATCGTCTGATCATAAATTCCTGACTGGGCAGACCACACAGGGAGTCATGTCCCAGGCCTGTAGCTTCCTTAGTAAAGGTGAATCTACCTTAAGTGAGCCCTGTCCACCGTTCTCATGCATGTAGGATAACATACCTTTGAAATGTCAGAGTAATTTTCTTTTCTAAATTCCTGGAAGGCACCACTACAGGTGCTGAGCATAAGACCACCAGAGCAGGAGACCACAGAAGCCCTCATTATTTTCTTGTTCCCCGAACACCATCTCTGTGCTGTAAACGTTAATTATTAACTATCCTCTACCCAGCAATATAAATGAAGTATGTGCTTCTCCATTTTGTTTTTTATCCATTCCTAGAGATTTCCCTGCTTTGCTTTCTCCAATCTCCTTAATCTACCACTAATGGATTCATGAAACTTCTTTACGATTTCTCCTTTGATTCTAATGCATAAAAGGAACTGGAAAACTGCCATCTTCAGAACATTTAAAAAAATCCATTGAGATCTTGCTTCCGGGCATATCCTAAAAACTTGGCTCAAAAACACTCTGATAAAACTTTTCTATAGGTTTGGATATTCTTTTGTCAACATGTCTAAATTGAATAGATTTATGGTTAAAAGGAGATGTGGCGGTTGTCTGTCAAACGTAGCTCTAAACAAAGCAATTAATTTTTTTTTTTTTTTACAATATCCCTAACAGGTAAAGCATAGTTATTGGATACATATGAGTTTTCCCCATACTTAAAACTGGTCATCTGGACACTTGAAAACTGCAGAGATTCCCTGTTTGCAACAGACCTCAGTCAGAATAAATAAATGAAGGTCCTTGGTTTCACCAGATTAGGCCTGAAAATTTTCATTTGAATGCTTTCGGGCTGGGCATGTCTTTCTAGTTCTGCAGCACAATTGTGCTTATTTCCAAGGTTGGAAAAAACGCAGTTATTTTTTTTCATCAGCAGAGTATGTGTGAGTGGCTGAGATGGGCACGGGACTCCTCCCACAGAGGGTGTCTTATTTCCTAGCTGCTTTATCTGCCAACTTTTATCCCACTGGAGTGAGGCCTCAGTAGGTTTTGAGCATCTTATTTACGCATTCTTTTTTGCCCTGACACTTCCCTTCTTTGGGTTCTGGAGCAGGTGAGGTACTTTCTGACACTCCTTTCAATTTTGCTCTGGTGATCTCTGACTGGACTGTACTCAAAGTGCGCTCTGCGGATTTTCCTTTGCTCTTTTTCACTTCGTTGTTACTGTTGTGACTGTTGTTCGTTTTGCTTGAATTTTTTGGAATTGGGAGCAGTGCACAGTTTTGAAAGAATGCGCTCATTTCCTCCACTGCAGATCTATAGAACCAGCTCAAGAGGTGAATGTCTAAGAGTTGCCATTTCCTAGAGTGAGGTTTAGAAGTTTTACCAGAAGTTACATTTTCATATGTAGACTCTAAAAATTCCTTTCCATGCATCAGTGCAAATACACATCTTTATACATACGTATTTGTATATGCTTATGTGTTAATATACACACATGTGCACACATTCACACACAATTGAGGTTACTTTAAATTAGAGAAAATTATGCAGGCATCATCTGCAAAATCTATTTAAGCTTAAGTACACTCCGATTCGGTGTCTGAGACTGTCATTTCAAGGGCAAACTATAGTCCTGTTTTTTCCATGTAGCCTACTTGCGTAGACTACTATGATTCCCCCTAACTTCTGAAGTTACTGTTTTTACCACTTATCAGTTTTAAAATTTCCTAGTTCGTGGGCCTTATTCCCATTTGATTTCTAAATTCTCATCTAACTGCTTTACGTGTAATGCATCTGTGGTCTTTTCTTCCAAATTGATTTGCAATCTCTTTTGGGGAGTGGGAGGAGGGAGCAGCATAGCCTACTTTACTTTGTGTGTGTATGTGTTTTTTCCCCGTAAAGTCCAGTATAATCTTGTAGAAAAAAAGAAAATACTTAGAAAAAAAGAGTTGAATTAGCAATGCATTTTTCTTCTGTTCTTTCTTGGGATTGTTCAGTCAGACATTTAGAACAGAGAATCAGACACTTCTCTTATTGGAATAATCTGAGGTTAATCAACATCCAAGTTAAATAGTATATCAGTTTTCTTGAATACTTTGATATATGGGGAACTAAGTACTATCAAACCAACGCATTTTAAACAACTCTGTTTAAAAAATGCTCTAAATCAAATGAAAACCAGTCTCCTTATAATTATCACCTGTAAGACCTAGTTCCTACTTCGATCCACTGAATCAAAAAAATTTTATAAAATACTTTTATTTGTCCAAGCATGCTGGCCTCAGTTCACCATCCTACTTGCTCACTTTTGAGCCTCTTATCTTATCATCTTAACCTTTTGGAACTGAAACTAACAAACACATAGAGTCTCACAAATTCAAAGAATGCAAGACTCTTTCTAAATACTCTATGTCTATGAATGTAACTTTGCATAAGTTTTTATTTGCCCTCATATAATAATATAGTTAGATCATTGAAAATAATGAATATCCAATACTCATTTTTACACTTGCTCTTGTGAAGGCCTAGCTCTGCAATTTTGAATGTGAATCTGTATTTGATTCCTAAGAAAGATAAAATAAGTTTTTCCTACTCATTTCACTGGAATTTGGTGGGGAAATGTATTGTTATATAGGAAGAGGGAAAGCTATGAAGGTTCCTTGGTAGAAATAAAAGAAATACAGTTAGTAAAATTATACTGGTTGTATAGACCTTCTGGAGAGAAAGAAACAACCTAGAGAAGAAAACAGGCACAACTGTGGGATGGTTTGCATTCTTTTGACTGCAAGAGTGAGGAGTGCTATGAAGATAATAGGAATTTAGCCACCTATAGTAGACGTCTCACCGAGGTGGAGACAGCACACGTTTTTGCTCTTTGTAGGATGCCATTGTTTACAATTTTCTTCATAGTCAATATCTTAAAGAAATCCCTGACTATATGGTACTCTAAGAACACCATTGTAGATATTTTCTAAAGATGTACTCAGAAATTGGGAAATCAAAACCAGATTCATAGGATTGTTTCCTTACAGTTAGTCATACCCAGTACCCTTAAAACAATCCAGGCAGGTGGACCTGGGTTTGAATCCTCATTTTACTGCTTACTAGCTGTTTAATCTGGGCTACTGTAGTGCTCAATTTCTCTGAACTTCATTTTCTTAATGTAGAAAAGGTAGATAACAACTCCCAACTCATAGAATTATGGAGAAGATGAGATGATTTGTATAAAGCAACTCTTACAGCAACTAACACACAACTAGAAAGTACTGAAGGCAGGTCTTCTGTCCCCTCCCTCCCTTCCTTCCTTCTTCCTTCTTCCCGGAGCTATTTTTATCTCTAGAATGTCTTCTGGGCTCATGAAAGCTGTTTCCTCCACCTGACTTTAAAGAGAAGTATTTTTATTTTATTTTACTTTTTCAGTTCAGTCTGTCTTAGCTGGCTTCATTGCAGATATTGATCATGTTGAGTACCCTTTCTGTAGGTATTAAGCGTGTGCTTAAATCCATTCTTCAAATATCGAAAAAGAGAGAGAAATCACACTGTAGAAAGGGAAATCCATTCCTCATACCTTGTTATTAAAACATGGACACCTATCAGTGCTACATTTTAAAAATCTGTTTGTAAAGGCTACATTTGTCTCATCTAGCATCCTATTTTAGAAAGTATTGAATTGGGATGCCTGTTA